AAGGCGACAGTGGGATATTCCAGCGGTCACTATGTCAGCCGCATATTCCTGGATATCCTAGACCACAGATTGTTTGAAATTACCCAGGCAAGGAACGTTGGGTTAGTTGGCCTGATTACATTCCACATGGTGGGAGACGAATCATTCCCAATCAAGCCATTCATCATGAGGCCTTATCTACGGCGGTGTCAAGAAAAAGTCATTGCTATATATTTCTAATATGTGCCGTAAACACGTTTTATGCTGTGACTGCATTAGAGAAGACTGTAGTGCAACGTTATTTTGAATTTTAGCACCCAAAACTACATCTTAACATGTAGACTGCAATACTTACAATTACCTTAGACAAGGGGAATTTATTAGATTTACACGGTAGATAAGAACAACACTAATTTAGCCAGCGTACTTATTGACGAGGAGAATCGATTTTTATGTATACTGTTTACTTTTTTTCTCATATCTGCAGGATGTTCAGGAACAACCCAGATCTGTAACGAGACTATTTGAAAAGGTCCACCTTCAACAACCGCTTGAGCCGTGCAAGGCGATTAATTAATAATGCTGTCGTATATCGAGTAAATGGCGCAATTTGCGGCGACCATTCAGGGCTCGAAGAAAACAACAATAAATATTTAAAGTCATGCGTTGTTTTGCACAACTTTCTACAAAGTTATTCACAGCTATCGCGATTGTCATACAGCCCTGCGGGTCTCGCTGATCACGAGGATTGCAATGGCAACGTTATCGAAAGATCATGCAGAAATGAAAGCGATGGACCGCAAGGTATGGCAGTTATCCTACTATTTGAATTTCATTCAGCCAGGTTAGCTATTCTGCTATTAAAAGCAAAGACAATCAAGACTCTCTTGTTTAGATACTTATGGTACTACATTTTGTTGCTTTTTCAGGGTAGCTATGGATAAGCGTGTGCGTTTGGCAACATACTTTATGAACTAAGGACAGGGGCCATGTCAGGAAAGAATAGTGACTCGCGCAGGTGTAGAGATAAAAACGCATACTTTTTATTATCTGCGCGATTCCTGCGTTGCAAAGACACGTTCACAATAAGGCTGGCGAGTGGAATTGCGTTCTTTATTTGTGCAAACATGAACGGGCAAAAATACTGTATCAAGCATCACATCTGAGATATCCTGCTTTCGGCTTTTTTTTTTGCTTTTATTCAGTACATTACAGTGCAAGTAAAGAGTTGATATAATACAGAAGGAGGTCCTAAAGTAAAAACTGTCAGGGGGACCTCCTGTGAATTTATGTATAAAAATATAGAACAAAGATTGGCAAGTAAGAAAAAAACAGCAAGCGAATAAAACAAAATGAACGTAATGAAAATTAGTATTGAAACTTATTGTAGTTCAAGATATTTACATGTAAGTGATAAAACAGGCGATAACTAATTGGAGTAAATGACTCTAAAATCACACATACATATCACTTAACTAATACAGTGTCACTTCAGAACCTATACACGTACACATAAATGCATATAACCATTATTAAACACACACACATATATATATATATATATACTCATACATATATAATAAGGTGTCTCATGTTGTTAGTAAGAACTGTTTTAGATGCCGCTGGAAACAATGTAATGAGTGGCTTGATTTCATAATTGATGGTAGTAAGTTGCAGAAAGAAATTGCAGAAAACAAAGCTGTCATTTTACCGTAGTTAGTGCTTACTTTCGCAAGCAGAAGGTTCCTATTTTCAGAAAACCGTGTGTTATTAGTGTTGTGGAGATGTGTGAGGGGAAGCATGTCAGTGAGAATGTCACCGACTCTACATCTAAATAATAAAATTCCAAGTTTCAGTTGAAAGGTGGAAATGAACGATATAATTTCGAGAGTGCTGCTGATGAAAGAGGGGTGCTGCTGATGGTGTGTAGGAACTATGTGTGATAATTCGGAGTGCTCTTTTCTGAAGGTGAATGAGAGATGTTAGTTTTGTGGCGTAGGTATTGGCCCAGGAAGAAATTTAGTAGGTTAGGTGACTGTTAATGAAAGCATAGTAAAGTGATTTGGAAATGTGTTGCTGTAAACAATGCCTTCTGCGAATGAGTATGTGGATGCCAAAAGCAGTCTTCTTGATGACAGAATTCACGTGAAGGTTATATTTGAGTTGAGGGTCTAATGTGACACCTAGAAAAGTACTGAACTTTGATGGGGTGATGACGCAGTTATCAGTTATCAACTTAATATAAGCCTAAATCGAGCGATTCCATTTCAGCTTCGAATTGAGGTTCTTTCCTTATTTGCCTTGCTTTTTGTTGCCTGATGTGTCACTTAGCCTATAATAATTACTTATCACTCTATATTGTATATTTGATTTCCATTCACTCGTTGCTTGTTAACTTGATCTGATTTATTGATTGTTATAATGCATCGAGGGTCCCGTTACAGTTTTTAACTTTGGGACCCTCGTCTGTATATTAATATTACTGTACTACTTTTTTGAAATGAATAATAAACTGAAACAAACTGAAACTGAAACTGAATATAAGCCTATGAATTTTGAAAAGCACATCTGCAGGTTTTCTTGGCGGCAGATTACGTAGCTTTATAAGCATCCAGTTGGCTGTCTGCTGACATTCATCTGTTGGGTTTAGGTCTGTAGGAGTGGCGAGATCCTTCGCTTTCTGAATTTTGTTTAGTGTACTATTGCAATTTTCAAGGACATCTTGTGCAGCTTCCTCGAACTTATCGTTTTTTCATCTTTTGTTGTGATGAAAACGTCGTTGTTTTAATGAACAGTTAAACAAACATGAAATATTTTGCAGGAAAATTGAACAGCATCACTACCGTGACTGTGGCGTCAACGAGGGTCGTGCTTTAAAGGGCAGCGCTGATGGCTGTGCAGATGGCTATGCTGATGGCTGTGTTGATGGCGGTGTTGAAGGCTGCTCTGACTGCCCTTTGTTTGTACTTTTGGAGCCACTGGAATATGAAAACAATCTTTCAGAGACCCACGAAACACAACAATGAACGTGCTCACCCTGAACATGCTGAAGGTTTACCGCAAGTTAGATTGAGCAAGTTGAAGTACATAGAATGTGGTTCGATGAAACAATTGTACTTAAAAAAAATCTGCATTTGGTATGCTGCGTTATTTTTACTAGGAACACAATTCCTATAATAGTTAGCTACTTTATAAGTGATAAATTATTTCATTGGGAAATAACTGCATGCATCTTCAAGCTTATGGGATTCCTATGATTTATCATTGCCAATAAATATGGAAGTACCCATTCGCATTTCTTTTCTTCTTCCTCGGGGTGACGTACCCGTGTTGTTCTCGAGTAGCTGTGTTCACATAAATGGAATAATGAAATAAATGGAGCGCATACAAGAGCACGAGCAAAATGATATCATTCATCAATTCCTCAGCTACCGATGGGTAGGGACAACTGCATATAAATTTTTTTTCGAGTGCACAGGGGATATTTTTTGCAGTACCACGCCCACAACAAAGGCTCGTAAAGATGAACAAAGTACCTGTGTACTGCTTCGCTGATGGTTCGTTGCGTCTCTTCAGGCTGCTGCAGGTGCCTGTCATGGAAAGGACGATGATGTGAATAATTTAAAATTAGAAGAACATCGTAAAATGTATAATTACCACGTACCCATCTGGTAGCGTTGCAATATTTGTATTTTTTCTGGAAACAGTCACAAATCAAATGTAATAGTCCAGGCTAAATGTAGCCCGATCATGCATACTCAATTATACGGCTCTGTGCGAATATTGCTCTTCTGCATCGAACAAGAAAGTCTCCATAAAACAAAACAAAAAATGAACACGTTGGTAATAGTTGATAAAAACTTTCTCGCTAACAATGTAAGAGAACGCCAAGACAGCAGCGAAATACAAAAAGCCATCATGAGCTATCGCATGCACCTAAACGCAGACTGCCACCACTTGGTCAATAAAACTCAATAAATGACTTAGAATGACTTAAAAGAACGAAACGGCACGTTAAACGAGATCTACAATTAGAGCACAAAAACCAATGTGTCTATAAAATTGAAGAGAAACTAAACATATCACTGTTTCTTTGGAGAAAATTCTATACTGCCCGAATGAAATCTCTATGGCAGCATACGCTTACCCTGAGAGCATAATTTTCACTGGCTGCACCACATCAGTTCACCGTTCAGAAAAATAACGGCAGAGAGCAAGACCTGAATCTCACTTTTTTGCAAAATATGGAATGGTTCAAAGAATACTGTTGGCTATGTCGTTGTAGGTCCACTTGGATTTCACTTTTGTGTCCTTGCCAGAAGCTCGACTTTTAGGCACTTTCCTTTTTCCACTGATATTTTCAGCCAGTGGTCGCGGAAGTTTTCAAACTTGGCCGCTGCCCGCTCTCCTACACAATATAAAAAACACGATTACATTCTGGTACACCTGCCGGCAAACGCACAAAAGCCAGAAAACTTTATTATTTCTTTCTTGTCATGGGAAATTGTTGTCCAATATTGTGCCACCTGTTCGCACGCAGCTCTTTGTCCTTGAAGACTTGTCGTACCAACAGGGGCACAAGCGGACCATCTCCAAAAAAGTCTCCATTGCACTGACGCGTCACGAAGGAATGGCGTTTGCGCGCTTTTTTTTTTCTACTGAACGGAGGGGGCAGTGGTGAAAGAATCCTGCGGATAGGCAGAAATTCAGAATATCACTTTTTGTTCACCGTTTTTCACACCATGTGGCGAAAAATTCTTCAACTAAACCACGGCATATGCCATGGAACAGACAAAACAGCAATTCATGTAAACTCAAGTACACTTCATTTACTATTGCTCTAAGAAGTACGAACTACAATCGTAGATTGATAAAAGCAACGCCTAGGACGAGTGGTCAGCTGGCTGTTCCATTGTGATGGAGCTGTTTTCTTGCCATGATTGTGTTCTTGCAAGTTGTTTTGCTGCGCTCACGAAAAAAAAAAAAACGATTGGTAGAATGCATACCTTTCTTCTTATCTTCTCCGATGTAGTTCGGCCGACTGAATTGCGTCGACCCCCGTGGGCGTTTCACTGCAAAAACATCAAATCATCTCTGATGTTTAATCTACTAAACTCATTCCAAGGAAAAATAGTAGAAGCTGATAAGATGGTAATGTGCGTTTGGGATTATGCAGACGCAGATTAAACATTTTTACAAATTCATTATTTCGTGCTATTGTGTGAAGGCCGGCCACGTCATATTCGCTGCCAGGGATAATATTAAAGCTCAACAAAGAGCAGAAAAAAAAGACACATATAAAATGGAAACCAGACATCGTTCAGGGTCCAGCTTGAATAAGAGGCTTTAGTTTAAACAACGCTCTAGTCGCTTCTCAATCGCACATTCAAATACACCCGAAAAAATGATGCATTTTCAACATGAATAATAAAAATTTTCAGCTTTTATATAAGGAGAGGGGTTCTAAGCATCGGAACTCGCATGTTACCACGGGTGTTTGGCCTTTTTGGAATCGGTTTATCTTTTTAGAAGCGCATTAGTACACAGGGACGAAACAGAAAATAGTCAGCGCCTGTCCTGTGTGTATTTTCTGCTTCGCCATGGGGTTTTTTTGTGCTTCTTAAAAAAATGCCACATGGTGTGCGACACAATCCATTTTGGTCACTCTGCTAAGCCTAGGTGAAAGCTTAATACAGCCAATTCCATTGATATACAAAAAATTTGGCAATATTTTGAGGTGGAGGGCCAAGTTGCATGGCTGCGACACAGTCCATGGGCGAATACAGAAGCAGGGGGAAGAGAAGGGGGAAGCTCAACAAACGAAATTTGGCCAACCCACAATTACATACAACACTGGAACAGAAGTAATGTTTATTTTCAGCACACGCGCCACAAGTTTGCAATTGACGAACACAGGTGCTAAGTGACAAGGGTAGTGATTGATCGTGCTGGCATCTTGCCTGGGGCAGCATGACACTATCTCGCGGACCGTAGGTTGCCGACCACTGATATACACACTGGCATTTAGCCTCATTCTTTCATTGGATATACTTGTTTGCAGAATGGCATCGCAGCTTGAAATGCGGCTTTCCCAGCTAATTTTGTTCAGAACAAGAAAAACGAGTTCGCAGTTAGCGCTCGTGTTTTTTTCTTGTTCCAGCTTGTACCATTGCTTATTCCGCTATTTGAAATAAAAAAGTGGGGTTTGATTTTTCAATGGTAATATTCAATAAAAACTCCTTCCCTAGAAGCCATTCAAAATTTAAATCACGAACTGGAATCTACAGACCGGCAAACGTTTGTCTCAAGAAAATGTATGAATTTCACCAGGGAAAAGACATCGCCATGCGCTGCACTTCAAGCGATTTTCCTGGCAGCTATGTCTGCCATAGAAATATTGAAGAGCACAGTGCGCAAGCTCCCGTGGGTCCTTCAGACGCTCCATGCCTAGCAGATGTCTCTGACAGCAACCTGACCTCAACATCAGAAGCGTAGCCAGAAATATTTTTCGTGTCAGGGGCTGAGGAGGTGGCGGCCAGGCACGGCCTGACCGCTATTACAGTGAAATTTCTCACATAAATGAAATGGTTTATTTCTCTCTCTCTCTCGTGTCAAGGAGGGGGGTTCAGCCATATTTTATGTGTGTTCGTGCGTGCGTTTTGTGTGTGCGAGTCTATATCTACATACACTATTGGAAAATTTTTTGAAGATTTATCCTCCTTGCTCCCGGCTACGCCCACATTCAATATTTCCTATAGAGTGGTTCTTCGAAACCAAAAACTTCACATCGGCTGAGCCTACAGAAAGCTCTGCATAGCTTTCTCCAGCCAATGTAATAGTCAACGCCAGCGCAGACTAACAAGTGAACATAATGACATAAAACAAATTTAGGTTTAGGACAAGGCTTCTGTTGTCTACTTATCATCTAATGCGGTTCGAATGAAGATTGTAGTAATATTTGAACTATGCGTTCGCTTGTTTTATATAACATAATTGCATTCTTTACACAGCACGTTATCTCTATTTCGTGTTTCTGCTATTCCGGTGCTTGCTTATCACCAAATATTACTTTGAGTGGCCCCATATTTCCTCACGCCCTGTTCATGATGAAACATTTGTTCATTGCTTGCAATACTTGCTATTAACGTGTGATCTTGAATTAACCATTGCTATGAACATCACTTGCGCTATTCCACGGTCGACTGAACCCTGCAGCAAAGTATGGACGAACTGCCGCGGCCTATTGGCTAGGCTGGTCGCAGAGATTTCACTGCGTATATGTAACTCTTCAGTCTCATTTTCGATGGAGGCGAAAATTCTCGAGGCCTATGTACTTCGGTATAAGTGCACAATAAAGAACACAAGATGGTCGAAATTTCTGGAGCCCTCCACTACGGCATCTCTCTTAATCAAATCATGGTTTTGAAAGGGGAACACCAATCAATTAGGTTTTTCAGTCGCAGACCACGCATTCAATTGATAAAGACGATAGTCTTTAAAGACGGTAGTCTTTTTTGGGGACCTTCGACGCAAAATCTTTGATCTGTCTGTTTGTCTGTCTGTACATTTGTCTGTTTGTGCACCACTTACGGTACCATAAACGGCCCCAAAATGTCCAAACGATTCTTCATCCGGCCGACCCCATCCGCAGCGCCCACCAATATTGCTCAAGATTCAGTATTAATACTCGTGCCATTGTTTGCTTGTAGACAGGTGGCGACGCAGACGCGCCGCTCTCATCTGATTGGTTCTAATTTAGCAGCATGCTGCGAAAAATGAGTATCGCACCCATACGCACGTTTGCTGCGCATTGCTGCCGCTTTTAATGATTACTGCAGGTCACGACACTATCGCTAACCACCCGCGACATGTCACGTGCCTTTTTGCCACAAGTGAGAATGTACCTTCACTTGATTTCAATATCGCGCGTGCGTTTGTCTCGCCGGAGCTGCTCCGTGCTTGCTATTCCGTTAGTCACTCCTCCTGAACATTGCTTGTGCAATTGCATGATCTACTGAACCCTGCAGTATGGTGCAATCAAGCTGCTTTTTTAACGGTCGATTGCCTCGACACGAACTTGCAAGTTTTTGCGGTGCGCGTGCCAGTTCAGTCTCGGAGCAGACACGTGGTGCCAGAACTGCGCAGCTCACTTCTGATTAGTTTTAAATTTGCGGCGTGCCGCCGAAATTGGGTCTCGGACATACGTGTTACTGCCACGTTTTCGTACTGCTGTCACTACTGAATGTAAAAACAGCGCAACCTAGAAGTTCTTACTTTGTAACTACGGAAGCAAAAAAACAAGGAATTAACTTGCGTAGTTACGAAGTAACTACTTCTAGGTTGTGCTGTTCCTACATTCAATAATGTCCTACCAACTTGCCCATGTTTCCACGCTTCATACTGCCACTCACGACAACTTCACTCACTGCTCGCGGCGTGTCACGTGCGCTTTTGCCTCAAGTAAGCACGTACCTTGACAGCTGCGTCAATAGAGAGTTTTAGCATAGAGAAACATAGTTACATAAAGAGTGGTAACTTCCGTAGGGCCCTGCGGCCCAGCTACTGCGCTGCTTCCAGCGCCACGAGAGGTTGGTGAGACCCGATATTGTTTTCAGCATAAATAAAATAACAAATTTTTTTTTACTGTGTTGCTTCTGGCAACCACTCGTTCTACTCAGCGTAGAGGCTTTCTACGGGGCTCATGCGAAAAGCACCCGTAGAAAGAAAAATTCCAAGATAGTGCAGGGCGTCAAGCATCTTCGGGGCAGTTGTTGTAACGCCTCCGTAGTCTTGGCGAGTATAAATGAGGCTTTTATACGGACAGAGAGGACACTTCTTGTCACTAGCCCACCTGGTGGGTGACAACACTTTCACAACATTCATGGTTTTTAAACAATTGTTTTTTGTACATTTGATGTGGAGTTTCAAAACTAGTTTTGTTTCCAATATGAAGCCTAGGAATTTATGCTCGGTCTTTACTAAAGAGGCTGACTATAAATATCAATCTCAGGACTAGGATGAACGCCCCTCTTTCTGGACTATAGGACTTAAGTGCTCTTCTATGGGTTATATTTAAAACAATTTTCGTCTGCCCATTGTGACACCTTGTTTAAACTTAGCTGTATTTGCCGTACACACGTGGAAATGTTGCACGATTTAAAACCAACCTGTACATCGTCGACATATGTGCAATCAAAATGTTGCGAAGAATGTATAGGCACAAGGAAATAAATTTCACAGTAAACAGTGTGAAACTCAGTACACCTCCTTGTGGCATTCCTGTTTCTAAAACAAACGTTCGGGGTAAAACAGTGCCTACTCGAACACGAAATGTACGATCAGACAGGCAACTTTCAATAATAATCAACATTCTTCTCCGCACAACTAAGTGTGACAGCTCTCGGATGATGCCAATGTGCCACGCTGAGTCATAGGACCTTTCCATATCGAGGAACAAAGAAAGCAAAAAATGTTTATTGACGAAAGCTTTCCGAAGTTATGCCTCGATACAGACATGGTGATCACTAAACCCACACTGATGTGGGTCAAGAGGGTTATTTGTTTCTAGGAAGTGCATGAGTCGCCTGTTTATCATCTTAAAAACCTTGCGGAAGGACCTACTTAGGGTGATGGGCCGGAAGCATGACACAGGGAACGGGTCCTTGCCCTGTGTTAGCATAAAAATAATAAATGGTGCTTTCCAGTCTGAGCGAACCTCTCCGGAAAACTATACAACATTATAGAGAGAGAGAAGGGCTTTTTTAGTTTTGAATGGCAGAAACTTTAACATTTCATACGCTACTCGGTCAGAGCCTGGGGCGGATTTATCACAGGAGGTAAGGGAAGCTTGTAGTACAGCTAAAGAAAAAGCTCATTGTATGCTTCGTGTTTCGTAGATTTGCGGTCTATTTTTCATTTTTCTGTTTTGGTAGTATATCGCTAAAACGCTTGAGTATAGTTCGACGAGCCGGAGATCTGTTCAAAGTGCGCCCCAAGAGAGTTAACCTGGTCCTCTAAGCTGTCGCCTTGTATGGACACCAATAGAAGTGAGTGTGCTTGTCGTCCTGCTACT